AGTGCAGAATAAGTCCCGGAGTAGTTGTCGAGAAGCTGGAGGATGAACATGCCGTGGCGAGTGCACATGGCGAGGCCTAAAATACACCCGACAGTGCAGACGACGCAGCACATGGTTCTAGGGTGGGCGAGAATAGGTTTTCTTAGTTTGTATTGTATTTATTTACATGCGGATTTACGAAGGAATTCAAATAACTATATACAGCCGAATGAAATAGAATGGTCTAAAGTTGAAATAAAACGGAGGCGAGCAAACATTGGATCTGAGAAAAAGAACAATGACCGACCAACGCGAAACTATAAGACGGAAGAAACATACGAATGAGAAATGAATTGGCAACTATCCTATACAAGAAAAAACAAACTTTAAGAAACCTGGCCACTCAGAAAAAATAAACAGGCAAATATCCTCTACAATTCAAAAAAGAAAAGGTCTCCCACACGACTACCTGACCACTCGAAACAAAACGGAGAAGAGCTCACTTGTAGTGCCTCCGCAGACCGAACACGTCCACAAGACACGTGATGACCGTCTGTACGATGGTGAACTGCGAGCCGAGACCCAGCGTCAGGAGCATCACGAAGAAGAGGATGGACCACAGCGGCGAGATGGGTAGTCGAGCCACAGCTTCCGGATAAGCCACGAACGCCAGACCCGCGCCTGCATGGATAGAGGGGTAGTTGAACTCGTGGAGTGGTTTGTCTTGTTCGTTTGGTGTGTTTTGATGGAGTTTTTTATTTATATTTATTTTTCTTTATTAAATTTACTCTAATTTTAATTCAATCTTTCTCTAGATTTCGCCTAGCCGATGTTTAGGGGAAAAAAATGTCATTGCATAAGCATCTGATATAAAGTCTAGACATTATTTCCTCTTCTAGGCAATCAATTATTTCAAGCCATTAATGCATTAGAAAAATATATAACAGGATATAAAAACAAGGTAATGACAAATACGAGGTGACGTCATGCCCTAAAAAAATGTCGCAAATTAGGTAATGTCGAACACAATCAATGACTATTAAACGGAGATATCTCACCCTGTGCAGCCACCTCCTTCACAGGAACACCTAGCTCGAAGGCCATAAATCCTACGATGCCGAATATGACAAAACCCGAGAAGAAACTTGTGGCGCAGTTTGCAACGCCTATGAAGATGGCATCCCTGTTGAGAGACGGAGAGAGAAGCAGATTTATTATGTGGCATGAGGTCTTCAGACTGCATTCAACACTTCCAGTCATAAATGCACTCGATAAGGAGAGAAGCAGTTTCTCATACGTCGGATTCATCGTGTTCACAAATGTAGAAAAGGTGTGAATGATGATGAATATCTTCACAATGCAAGATATGTATTTGACCGGTTTCGAATAATGTATCTTCGTCTGAAAATGACGAAGATATATTTAAAACCGGTCAATTACTTTGTGAAGACATTCATTTTCATTCATACCTTTCCTACATTCCCACACATCGTGGACTGGAGCCATAAATTACAATCAGAATTACCTCAAACAATTATTGTTGAACTTATTATAGGACGCTAAGGTGATGAGGCCGCCCCAGCAAGGCCCGAGGGAGAAGAAGATCTGCATAGCAGCATCCGCCCACACCTGCGAAAGTAAATAAATAAATAAGCATATGAATAAATGAATAAATATCAACAACCGTATACCAGGCACAAAAACATTCCACTCAAGGCCTATGTTCAAAAATCCTTTGAACAGCCCGGAGTGCAATTACCAAGGCGAACCAAGTGCAAAGGCAAGGACATTAAGCGAAAGGACAAACAAAGAGCGCCTAAGGACTTGCCCTTGCGGTGAGGAGTTTGCCCCACTCCGGAGTGATGTAGAAGGCGATGCCGTCGAGGTAGCCTGGTAGAGTGACCGCCCTTGCGAACAGGATGATGAGCACAGCGTAGGGAAATAGCGCAGTGAAGTACACGGCCTGAAGGGAAAAAAAGTATTCTTTTGAAACGAATTAAAATCATGGTCTAGGCACTGGCGCTCCTTCACCAGCTGTGTTCGGTCGTGGGCAATACTCCCGGGATGTTTTCCAATTTATAATATCATCAACGTCTTTGTTACTAATATTACTGCTAATATCATCATTCAAATTTCATAATCACTGTTATCTTTAATATGGCAGTGAAACACACACAGGCATTATTGCTATCATCAATGAACTATCCATCATAGAAACTCTGATTAATAATCAGTTATGAAGCTGGTTATTGTCATGCCCCTATCTGGGTTCGAATGGATAATATCACGGTGAATCACCATACTGCCATCAAAGCTAATCACTATACACCATCCATATGACAGCAATGATCCTGATGAACACTGACTTTCAGGAGAGAACGCCCACCTTTCCCATGCTGGTGACGCCCTTGAAGAGGCCGCAGAAGACGACGACCCACGAGAGGATCAGGCACAGGCAGAGGCGCCACTGTAGCGTGTGGCCTTCGTCGTCGTGGAAACCCTCAGAGATGTCCAGCATGAAGTTACTGTTGGGAATATTAGCAATTAGCAATAAGCAAGAACAAAAACAATGACAATTCTGGCCTGCGTCAGATCACATCGGTCAAAATCAAGAACAGACAGCAAGCGTTCACGTTACAAGAAGCTCCGAACAACTTTGGCCGAAGATGAACACTTACTGGAAATATTCGTCGGCCGGAAGCTTCATGCTCTCGGAGGTCTCGTTGAGGAGCTGCCAGTCCTCCTTCGACACGTCGCTCTCCAAGTAGCAGGTGCCGTTGGGGGCCATGAGGCCGCTGTTCGCAGTGCAATTCTTCGTGTCGAACCTGCGAGTCATTAGAATTCATGTCAGTTAACGTGTTTTTTTCAGGATTTAAGGATTATGACGATTAAGAAGTGTTTGAACGTTTTTCTGGAAGTAAAATAAATCATTGGTAATATTTCATACTGTTTCTGTTTGTAAAGCCACGGAAAAGTACTGAGATCTATCTATCGAATGCTTAATAAGCATGCAAAGAAAAAATGCCAAGGCACCTTCGGCAGGCCGCGGTGTTCCACCAGTGGTCGCACGACTGCCATGGCAGCTCGGCGGTGAAGGAGGAGAAGAGGTAGAAGAAGGCCCAAGCGATGATGATGTTGTAGTAGAGCGCAATGAAGAAGGCGATCATGAACATGCCGATGCCAATGCCTTGGAAAAGCGGCACCGCCTTCCAGATAGTGATGGGACCTTCCTGCCCATACTGGCCGAAGCTCAGCTCAAAGAAGAAGAGCGGCAGCCCCGTGATGCAAAGCATGGAGAAGTAGGGGATCAGGAAAGCACCTGGAACGCAAATGATTCAGTTAGGGAAGCGAGCCAGGGGTTCTCTCCTGGACTCTTCGCACGAATATTTTTGGAGTTGCTATACGAGTCCACTTACTGCCTACATTAACTTTTATTGTGATACATTTTGTCTGACACAATAGGAAATACATTCAATTTGAAATGACACGTTCGCAAAATCGAACAGACGAGCGCACTCACCCCCGCCATTGCGGTAGCAGAGGTACGGGAACCTCCAGATGTTGCCGAGGCCGACGGCGAAGGAGAGGCATGAGAGGATGAATTCGATCTTATTGCCCCAGACGCCGCGGTCCTCGTCGTTCAGGCAGATGCTCTTGTCATCGTCTGCGCGATTCACTGTAATCCGGATCTCCGTGGCATCAGTCTCCAGCTCTCCAGTCTGCGACAAGAAACCTATGTTAATTTCCGCCATCCAAGACTGTTGGGGAATTTGTCTAAAGTATTTCTTTTTTTTCTAAAATTCATTCTTTCCTTTCTAAGGATTACTATGTATAAAAGCTACTCATGATTCATGCTCTTGACTCCTGTGTTGGTTTTAAAGTGCGTTTTTTTTTATCCCTCCCTTTCCGTTATGTAACATTTGTATTTGAGAAACCTAGTAGAGTTCCCGAAAAGCCACGAGTCTGTGGAAAACTAAAGTGAATAGCCTCCATAACTGCAAATTCTGTTTTTCTTTTTTCTTTTTTTTGCCTTTCTATTGCCTCACGGACAAAGCCTTAAGGAGTGTGAATTTCGCCAGTAAGCCATAGCCGTGGACGTCATTAATTAACAATAGCCATTCAGAACTCAAATATCGAGGAAGTGGCACGCCTTGAATTCCCGTTTTCTATGAGGAGGGGCCCCGTGCGCTGAACTCGGATTAGGTTAGCCAATCTGTCCCGTTTATTTTGCTGTGAACATATGCACTGTAATTAACTGCTTTATGATATTATCCCCTTTACTACTTTTCCTAAGGATGAATATGGGAGAGAGCGTAATATAATGTATATACTTAGAACAAACATGCAAATAAAAAAACAATATTGTTGGAAGCATACAGGGGTGTTTAAAGAATAATCAGTCATGGTTTTATAAAATCATAATTACTGATAACTAGGCCAAGACAATCATATTACAGGAGCGAGGAAAGAAATTAGAGGACAGACAAGTAATAAGATTAAAACCTTCTTTTAAGATTTAACGAAGCCATGATCTGATGTGATGTAGAGACTAGCCACAATGGACGCTAATTTCAGTAAACATTTCCCCAATATTAGAGTTACTTATGATGATATGGCGAAGGCAAAGTCTTCTATCTACCTATCTATCTATCTATCTATATTATATATACATATAATATAATATATATATATATATATATATATATATATATATATATATATATAATATATATATATATACACACACACACACACACACACACACACACACACACACACACACACACACACACATATATATATATATATATATATATATATATATATATATAAAGAGAAAGAGAGAGAAATACAGAGATAGATAGGTAGGCAAACAGACAAAAAGAGATAAATAGAGAGAGAGAGAAAAGGAAGGGAGGGAGGGAGGGGGAGAGAGGGAGGGAGGGAGGGAGGGAGGGGGGAGGGAGGGGGAGGGAGGAGGAGGGAGGGAGGGAGGAGGGAGGGAGGGAGGGAGAGGGGAAGGGAGGGAGGGAGGGAGGGGGAAGGGAGGGAGGGAGGGAGGGGAGGGAGGGAGGGAGGGAGGGGGAAGGGAGGGGGAGGGAGGGAGGGAGGGGGGAAGGGAGGGAGGGAGGGAGGGAGGGAGGGAGGGAGGAGAGAGGGAGAGAGAGAGAGAGAGAGAGAGAGAGAGAGAGAGAGAATGAAAGGGAGGCAGACAGACACAGACATACAGATAGACAGACAGATAAATAGATAGGTAGACAGACATAAATAAATAGAGTGTGGGAGTGAGAAAGAAAGAAAGAGATAGACTGATAGATAGATAGATAGAGATAGAGATAGAGATAGAGATAGTAAGATAGAGAGAGAGAGAGAGAGAGAGAGAGAGAGAGAGAGAGAGAGAGAGACTGACATACAGATAGATAAACAGATAAATGGATAGGTAAACAGACATAGATAAATAAATAGATATTGTGAACGTGAGAAAGAAAGATAGATATATGAAGAGAGAAAGAAAGAGAAAGAAGCAGAGACAAGTAGATAGGCAGAGAGATAGATGGATAGGTAGACAAACAGGCCGAAAGAGATAGATATAGAGATAGATAGATAGATAGATAAAGAGAGAGAGAGAGAGAGAGAGAGAGAGAGAGAGAGAGAGAGAGAGAGAGAGAGAGAGAGAGAGAGAGAGAGAGAGAGAGAGAGAGACGGACAGAGAAGTTAAGGAGGAAAAAATGATGCCACCTATACACTCCACTAACACTGAACAGACAACCCACAGCTGACCTTCCCCCGCAAGCACTCGTCTCATCTCCTTGCACAAGTTACCTATGGAATGTATTCTGGTCTAAGGGAGGTACCACCCCCCCTTCCTTCCTCCTCCTCCACTTGCGCTCTCCCTTAGCCCAGGTGAGTGAGGAGGCGAGGGGAGGCGAGGGGAGGCGCCACTACAAATAGCTTTTATTGACGAAATGCGCTCCTTTGGGCAGAGAAGTCCGTTCAGTCACCAAAGCCGTGACGTGAAGATGGGGGAAAGTAAGGAGGTTGGGACGCAGCGGAAAGGAATTTGGAGAATGACTAACGTGAGGGTTTTTTGATGAGAGAGAGAGAGAGAGAGAGAGAGAGAGAGAGAGAGAGAGAGAGAGAGAGAGAGAGAGAGAGAGAGAGAGAGAGAGAGAGAGAGAGAGAGGGGGGGGGGAGTAAGAAAATAACGGAATATAATAACAGCTGAAGTATCCTATTCATATGAAAACAAATGATAATTCTATTTCTATCTTTATCTTAACCAGTGATGATAGATAATAAAGAGCTATGACCAAAGAAGCGTATTAATGCTATGAGCTGACAGTCAATTAGTGAGGTTAGAGAAGGGAGCGTCTTGACATCTCGGCAATGTTTATATTCGCGCTCCCCTATGACGTCATCTAGCTCACGCTCCCTTGTGACGTCATCTAGCTCACGCTCCCTTGTGACGTCATCTCGCCTCGGGTCGACCTTTCCATCATTCCAATTTTATCTCCGTTTACAAATTATGCAAACTTTGCTCGACATGTAGTGCTCCTCATAATTTATGGATTGTACAGACCGGATTTTAGACCATCGCTCTTTGCGTAGGAGAAAAAGTGCGACAGTGACTTGAGCGATATTCCCGTGATTTTAATGCCAGGGCAATAGGTTGATTTTGATTCCTTACCCGGGTACAGCTCAAGTAGACTCCGTGAAAGAACTCGGCCTGGTTAACCTGTGCAATAAATGATTCGGCATAGCTTGCAACCCTGGTAGCTGTTTCGCAATAATCTTCTGAATACAATCACAAGTATAGTAATTTTTCATGAACCTGCCTCCCGTGCGTCACATCCATCATTGTATGATCTTTGTGACCTCATCCTGGAGCATCCAAACTGCCTTGAAAGAATATAAATCCGATAATGAGATTTAGAATCCATTTCAAAAGACATGAGAAGCTGCAGAGGGTTTCCCTGCCACCCACGTTCTATCGATTGTCGACTTTGTCCCCTTTCCGACTGTCGACGTTATTTCTCTGCAGCGTCGCCCCCTCGTGCCTTGCTCTTTCATGCCCTAGATCTCTAAAGCAAGGCTGGACCCCCACCCCCTTGCATCTGCTGTGCCTGCGTTCCGCCAAAAGCGAGAGGGAAGACAAGGTTGATTCCAAAAGCGAATAGCGACAGGCGGGAGGCAGGGACTTGCCCGTCGTTATTTATAGCCAGAAACTGTAGAATCTCTCATGAGCTTTTTTGCAAGAATGAGGCCACCGCAGCTGGGATGTTACCATGGCAACGCACTCCGCTGGTCTGCGCGGGAAGGGAGGAGGACGCTGAAACTCAGGCCAGAAATGTGTATTTATAACCGATGCAAATTGCTCAACGTCAGTTATGATGGGCTGCAGAGCTAATAATAGAAACGATAATAACTATAAATACGATCAGATAATTAGAATGATGATTAAAGGAATTAAGTGAATGACTTAAATGACGCTCTTTATGCTGATCATAATGATGATGGTGATGATAACGAGTGAGAATGATGCTGACTGTGATGATAAGGGTGATAATGATGATGATAACGAATGACAATGCTGCTGACACTCACGACTTAGATGATAATGTCGAAGAAGACAAAGTCGTGAGAAATTAATGATAGTTTGATAAAACTAACATTGAAAGTCAACAGTTATCAGTGTGTATAATAAACTTCATCACTAATAGAACTGATAATGTCTATGATGATAAGTGTATTGATCATAATTAACATCATATATAAAAGCAATCAAATTGTGACATTAAACCTATTTTCCCGTCACGTATAAGTACAGGCTCGACTGCTGACATCCTCCTAAGTTGTAAGGAAGTTGCTAATGAGTTTACTGCAGTGGACCGGCTCTTTATCTCCGGGTCGCAGCGCATGTGCATTCGTCCCATTTCCTATGGATGCACGTTAATTCGTATCACTTTTGCGCTCTTTAAGGGACTGGTTCATTGCAGTTCTATACCGACCTGGCTCCGCGTGGATGGCTTGCTGAGGGAAAGAGGTCGCCAAAACGCAGACAGATATCCGGCTTGTGCTGATTCTCGCTCTTTGGACTGCGGCAGAAAGCAGACATTTTGATTTTTGTGGCGTGATTATATTATTTTAGTTATTTTCTGCGTTTTCCTATATTGCGTATTGTTGGTTGCAATCTCGTGATGTCGATTGAAGTTTGTAGAATATGCTGTTTAGATCCAATTTATTTTACGGTTTTAATCATGGTATATATCGTTATATATGTATGACTGTTATCTATTTAAAGTGAATGGATTTATTTGCAATAAACTTCCTGTCTCTTGTCTGTCTGTCCGCTTGTCAATATGTCTGTAAGTCAGTCATTCCTTCCCTCCCTCTCTCTCTTTCCCTCCCTCTCTCTCTTTCCCCCCCTCCCTCCCCCTTTAAAAAGAAACATATTAGTTAAATTACTTTATCTCAAAATACCTCATGCCAACCTCACTCTTACTCAGCGCACGTACCTGTCCATTCCGTCTGAATTAGATGCAATAAGTATAGGATTAACTAAACCAAGGAACTTTACAAACATTTTCTGATTTGGACTCGTGTACAAAAAACACTTCTCAGCTTGCAAAATTGATTAATCAAAGGTCGATATACCAGTATTTAAAAGTAAAACGGATAATATTCTAAATATACTTATGGTGTGTTTGTGCGTTTCTAC